CTGGCTGTTTCCTCAAAGGCTCCAACAAATAAATGTGTTCCTTTCTGATTTTCTCTGTCTACTGCTGGCCAAACCTTGAAAAGTGTGATAAAACCGATTGAGATAACAGTTTCACACAGAGTTGAAAGAAACAGATTAATGATTAACATTTCTGCCTGACACTGATATTGCTGTGCAGTCGACAATAAATAAGTCAACAAAGACAATTGTCACGCTCAAGCTTCTGTATTTCAAAAAAAAAAAAAAAGTTCAGATGTTCAGATTGCTTTGCACCACACCAGACTTCTTATCAAACAATCTTTCATTTTTCAGAATTGCACAGAATTTTGAAGTCATACTATATTAAGTTTAACATTTTTATTCACATTACAGACATTCCAAGTCACTGAGGGATTGGCATGTTTTTGTGATATCAAACAAAACCAAGCAATCAGAGTAAGGAATAAAGACTTGAAATCTCTGACCTATGGACCATTTGAAAGGTTGTTTGAATTGCTGCCTGAGACATGGCACTCCTCCTCCTGGCCCCTAAAGACAGAACAAACAGCTTTCATGCCAGCACTCAAGACTGCAACAGCCTAAGTAGAACAGGAGGGAATGTGACAGAACACAGCAACAAAATATTTCTGCAAGGTAAGCATTTTAATCAATGTGCACAGTCATATTTCTGCGGAATTCCTTATTAATTCCTTATTATTAAGTCAACAGCATTCATGCTGCTACAACAGAGTGTGGAAAGCGTTCATTCATATTAAAATCACATATTGCAATTACTTTATTCTTCCTAACAGTCTAGGGCAACTTTCTGAAGTCATGAACTCAGCTCAGCAGCTGCTTCGGTCTCAGAGAGACCTGGTGCTGAACTGGACTTGTGACCACCCAGCTCCCTTGCTGCGCTGGCTGCATGATGCTGAGGTGCTTTCTTCTGCCCAATACCTGTCTCTGCTGGACAGGTCACCTTCCAATGCTGTGGCCCAGGCTCTAGAAACTGTGTGTGCCACTGAGAACAGCAGCCAAAAGTTCCTGCTGGTGCTGAGGGAGGTGCAGGATTACTACTGCAGGGATCTGCAGGTCTGGGTGGAGACACACTGCAGGAACAATGTCATTATCCCGGTGGCTGCACCTGTAAAAACTAAAGGTGAAGTGGCTTCAGTATATAAATTATGACTGTATTCTGTAGGCATTCACAGTATATAAACAGGTGCATTTAAAGTTAAAAGCAGGGTTAAAGCTACAGAATGTAACATTTTTAAAATATTTTTGTTGTAGAGATCTGCTCCAGACCTTGTCTTAATGTGAAGAGGTGCTGTCAAAGCCTCCGGTGACCCAGACTCTTTGAACAGCACTGGCAGCAGTGCAGAGATATTAGCTTCTAAAAGGTTTTGAGCAGGACTGGTCTTTCTCATCAGTCACAGATTTTCAGTTATTTCTGCTTGATCAGTAAATTTTGTTGCATTCTCATTTATTGTATTTTCTTAACAACAAATATCTGAAGAGCTGGGCAGAGTGCGATAGAACATAGTGGAGCAGGGTTGATTGATTTGGAGTTTCATGCTAGTGCTACCTTAAGTTACATACTGTAGTGTTAACAATATTACTTTTCAAAACCTTGAAGTTCAAAGGACTGAAACAAAAGTTTTACTGCCTGAGTAACAAAGATGTGAGAGGATTATTAACAGGCAACAATGACCTGTGATGTCTTGCCAACTAATTTTTGCTGGCAATGAAGGACTGTAAATGCACAAAGCATATTTAGCTCTTTAGCCAGCAAGCTAGCAACTATTGGATGAATCATTTGTGGTTTTTTTACTGAAGCATCTTGACAACTGACCCACACCTCCTTCAGGCTGAATTGTAATGACTTTGATGATAGCAGGATTTTTCATCTAGTGCTGAAAACTTTGATTCAAATATCAGCAAAACAAATGACATGCTCAACAGCCAAACCAACATGCTAACATGTTAGGATGGTGAACAAGGTAAACATTACACCTTCTATAAGCAAGTTGACACTGTAAAAGTGAAAATGTTAGTATGCTGAGCATGTAGCTCAAAGCACAGCCTCACAGTTATAAATGTTTGGGAAACAACCTCCTGTTCATCCGACACTGTTAATGAAATGCATGGTCTTTAAACAAACACATATTTACATCAGCTAATATCAGATATACCATATATGTTATTTACTATATGAATCCTGTGATATCCGCAGCCAATCAACCTAAAGGCCCATTTGCTAAACTGTTCAAAGGAAAAAACAAAGGATACACCTTAACAGCTGAGGTTAAAGGTATGAATTTATTATTTTCTGAAAAAAAAACAGATTTAACAGTATATTATTTCTATTGTGTTTTCTTTCTAGTGATAAAACATATTTACATATGTAATAATTTATAATGGCAATACTATAATGTCCATGTAATTTTCCCATAATTTGCAGTTAGGTTATGAAAATGTTGTCAAGTGAAACAATCTTACAATATGTGTATTATCCAGCCAAAGAAGAACTGAAACCACGAAGGAGTGTAAAGTCAGCCAACATCCGAGGTCTGTCCATATAGGTGAACTGAAGGAGAAATATTAATTTTAGACACAACTGAAAAGTAATTTGATTCAAATTTGTTTGCAATACATTTGTTCTTCTTCCTGTCTACTACTGCAGTTCCTATCTCTGCCCATAAAACAACTCTACTGAAACGCACAGAGCAGTTGAAGTGTTACTCGGAGGGAGATGGAGTGGCTTCAAATTCCGCTACTCACATTGAGATCCGATACACTGACCTTTTTGTCACAGAAGATAATGACTTAGTTGACAGCAGTGGACATGAGTACTTTGACCTGGCGAGCAGACGAGCTCGCATCTATGTCCATCAGGCTTGCCAGCGCATCCGGCCATGTCAAATATTAAGCCCTCAAGGAACATCAAGTAGGCCCCCGAAAAGAGTTAAAGTGAAGGGTATTG